CCACTACCGATAGATGCAGGCCTGTCCTAAAGTCTTCTAGAAAAGTCTCAGACACTGGGCAACATTAGTGGTGCTCACTGCCGCAGATCGAACAAGGAGGGCGTACAGAGTAGCAAAAGCAGATACTTGTGGCACGGTGGTGACCTCGGGCACAAAGTGTTCGGTAGAGCCCGGTTTCCTGGTTGCGCAGATATAGTGGCACTGGTGGGTCGCACAGGGCTGTGAGAGAGATGGTTTCTGGTCGAGTCCACTGTGGGTGCACTGGTGTTGTCGTCCGACGATGACAGAGACGTGGTCGGGATTGGTTAGTCTTCAGCCTGTCGATGGTCGATCCACAGTGCTGGGTGCGGCGTCGGCTACCGAACTGGGACAAGGGGACAGATGAAGGTCGTTCTTGTTACCGTCCACAGCAGAGGCGTTGCAAGATCTGGTGTTGCACGTTGACGATGCGATCCGGTGATGGTTGGCGGGGAAGACGAGCCTTGTGAGGTGCTTGGTGGTGGAGTTTGAGGCGTGCGGAGCGGCGATCCCTCCTTGTTAAGCTCAGTACCTGGGCGCCCTAGAGGGGTGATGGCGGAAAAGGCTGGAACCTGGGTGGGCCAAAGGCTTTGTTACCGCGAGCGAGTGGAGAGTGGTGGCCTCTACGTATATGTATGGCGGGCTACGGATGCTAGGATAGTGTCTTCGCGTGGCTGACTGGTGCGCTGGGGCTTCACATATCCCCAGGGCTCAACCAGGCGATAGGGTTTGTCCGAGCTTTGGGAGGATCTGGATCGGGATGAGAGATGAAGTAGGTATGGCACGAGAGCACGCCTCAGGTGAGGAGCGGGCGGGAACGCTATTCGCAGACGCACTACCTCACAAGTAGGCAACGCAGACGAGGCACGGCAGGCGCACTGCGACGAATGAATAATGAACCACACCGTTTAGGTTCAGGTTAGAGAGAGCCAGGCGAGCATGGGGCCGCAGACAACAATGCGCTGCCGGGGGTGAAAGCACCTGGGCACGTAGCGCAGCCAGACCCTGCCCGCTGGCCGTCTCTCGGACTCTGCTGGCGTGCGGGACGGCTTGGACCAGCAGAGTGGAGGGTGTCGCTTGCGCCGGGCCGGAGTGAAAGGGCCCTCTCCATCATCAGTCACGCCGCCATGAGCCATGACGTTGGGCGTGAAGGTCGCTCGCCGGGGTCTCTTTGACGCGTGCCATCTGCCATGAGCTGTCAAGGGAGCCCGAGTGAGATTGACGGGGCGGTGGCATGCGGCTCTCCTGACCCAGGTTTGCGGCACGACAAGAGACGGACAGCAGAAAATGCTTTTGTTTTCCCAAGTTCCAAGGGTGAGGAGCCTGGAGGCACTCTAGTGTGCGTCGGGACTGGCGCCAACACGCCTGGAAGCCTGCAGCGCACGGACGACGTGGGTTGGTCTGGCCCAAAGAAGCGCCGTGGCAGAGACAAAGACGCGACTTGAAAGACAGCTTTGCCTTGTTTGTTCAAGCTCGCCGTTTCCCAGAGGCGTATCCCCGTTGCTAGCAGCGCTGATCGCGGCTGCAGACGTGCGAGATCGATTTGAAGCGTGCGGGAGCAGGACTGCGCGCCTGGCCGTCACAGATGCGTCCCATCACTGTGCATCATGGCCGTAGCAGACCTCAGCGACATCTGGAGCTGGGATCCTGCCCATCCCTGTGGACTGCCTCGGCGACCTCTCCAGCGGCCGTGCGTCTGCCGCACAGCAGTTTACCTAGCTGAGCTGGATGCGCTAACCATGTGGGAGCAGGAGTGCGAGTAGCACATGATTTGCGATTGACGACACTGCGCTTAAGCACCTCGTCTGCAGCGACGGCAGAGAACAAAGAGGGTCGAGGCGTTTCCGCTGATCGACGTGGCGCCCGCTCCCTGTACAGTGCTGCACATACGGTATATTGCCATGATGCCCGCGTTGCACACGCTGTTGGTCATCAGCCGGGGAAGTGCTTATTGGCTCCGTGTGTGTAATCATTGGCCTCTGTGCACTGTCGTCTGTGAGCAGCTTCGGTGACGTCTATAATTAGACGACATGCTACGGTATATTGCCTGCGGCACGTGTGCATGCAAAGCACACATGTGCAGCAGCTGAGCGGAGGTGGGTAGGCCCATGCTCGACCTCATTTCTCTGACGCCAGTTCCGGCGCACTAGATACCGTCGTACATTTTACCCAGCTGGGGGATTCCCACGTGGAAGCGCAGCTGAATCACATCCGAGCGCGCCCAGGTTCGCGTTTGCGCGCGTCTGATGATGCCATGTACGGCTCAGGGCCTGCTCAGGTCCATGCTTCGCATCAATGGAGCGAGAGTCGCAGCCAAACGATAGGCACGTCCCATATCACATTGCACCAAGTTCCAACGCGCGCCCGCTGGCGTCGCGAGTGACAGATGCTGTGCGGTCAGGTCGTGAAGCCAGTTGGCGCTGGCTGCCCACAGCGGGCGCATCGAAGCTTCGGCTGGCTGGCTTCGTGCATGTGGTGGTGTCGTCGACGGCTTCCCAGCGGCCTGGTTAGCTGGCTGGCGGGAGAGTGCTGCGACCAGGACCTGGGCAGTACCAGTTCTTCCGCCGTCGATCGAGGGGGCTTCTGCTCTGGCCACTTGGTTTGACTCCTGGAGCTGCTCTCGTCGACGCTATGCTGGATAGAGCCCGTGCAGGGTCGAGGGGAGATCTCCAGCCGCAAGCGAGATGGCCGTGTGGAGAGGCTTTTTGGCTTGCTGGCTTGCTGGTGCTCCCCCCGTCTCGGCACCCACGGTCCAGTGAACGGAAGGCGTTGCAAGGTCGGACCGCCTTGACAATCTGTCGGGCTGTCGCATTGCGTCGATATCATACATGATGACACCTGTTGAGGAACATGGACTACCAAAAGGAACCGCAGCCAGCATCGTGAGACATGGACCGTTCCCCTTCATTTCGTGTCGCCATGTTTTCGTGTAATCCCAGGTGCGTCTGTCCAATAGAACAGAAAAGTAAGCGGCCGCACTAGAAAGTCTTGCTGTGTTGTGATGTTGACCGGTCGCGCTCGATCTCTCCGTCTCTGCGCGCGCGCTTGCGTCGCCAACATGACCCGGAGCCCTACCACCACTACCTATGCAATTGAGTTCTCCATCCCAACTCTGTTAAGACAAATTCAGACCGAAGTGCAGACGGGGTCGAAACACCACGGCTGCTTGGGGGACGGTGCAGCCAGCTGGAACCTTTCTGCCACGGTCACCCCTGTCGCTCTATTCGACGACCTCTCCATCGGAGCACGCCTCTGCACTAGCGCCCTCCAGGGCTCCACGCCCGTCTCCGACCGTACCACAGATGTCGTCATCCTGTCATTGGCTGCCGCAGCTCAGCAGCCTCGCGGAGCCGAAGTACTTAGATGAGAGCACTCTATTTGCCCGTCGCACGGCGGTGTTCTGGGCAAATGCCTACGAAAGTGTCAGTGACGTCTCTCCTCATGTGACCCAAACCTTCTGTCCCCCTCAGCAGCTGTAGGACTAGCCCTACTCACTCACTATCACAGGCGGGTTTTGCGCTAGAATCGCACGATTGGCACCAGATCTGGGAGCGCCACGCCAACGCCGGAGCGGCCGAGTGGGCTCCACAGGCGGAGTAAAGTTAAACCGCAACCGCACCCCTGTCCCTTGTTAGCGTTCCATGATTTCACAGCGTGCAAGCGAGGACGCCCAACCACTCTGCTGGGCCACGGGCCACTTCAACATGGTCAAAAAAGAGCTTTCGCATTCGCGTCAGATCCATGGTCCATGGAGATTATCTGCCGCTGGCGTCAACGGGTGACTGCATCCATAACGCGCGAGCCTCCTCGCCGAGCCCGGTCGATCTGCACTATTCGCGCATTCTAATAAACTCATCGTTACCGACAATCTTATCCACGCGCATTTGCACGGCAACAAGCCGAACGACTCGAGGACCACGGGCTCGTGCTTGGACGTTTCGTAGGACTGATGAAACCGAAATGATGGCAAGTCACAATCAGGGGTGCATGTTCCGAATTTTGCCCCGCAAGGAACTTTTGCCTGCCAGCCTACTGCAGCACGCGAGTAAGTCTTGAAATGATCCCTATGCGTTTGCTTCGACCACATTTGTGTCATCGTTTGGCCAACATCCTCTCCTGCGTAATGCAGTGACTATCCCTCCAATCAGACGCCGTTTCGCTAAACCTTGCACCTCAGCTGCGTCCAAGCGTTTCGTGTGCAAGCTACCACACCTCCACCTGCCCCTAACCGCTTGCTTCGACTCCGACCGGCCGAAATGTGATTTGCTCACATTCGCTTATACACATTAATGTCATTGGAGCCTCCTCCTTCACCGATGGGCCAGATCGGAAAAGATGATGTTCAGCCGCGTGCTTCCAGCACCTGTCTCCCTAGTACACCAGTCTAGTCACTAAGGTTTCTTTTCTCGGAGGCATGTGGCCGACAGAAAGCAGTGCGATGCATCAAACATCATCTTGAGCCAGCAAGGCCCGAGAGAGAAGTACTTGCCACGATCAAACACAAGACGCCGTGGCGGACGCCAGCATCGTTGAGGATCCCGAGGATCTTCACCGGGCGCTGTCGTTCATTGCCCGAATCAGTACTCCCCAGCTGTTGTGCCCGCTAGCCTTTACGCCGGTAAAGCCATCCCGTCTGGATCGTGCGCGCCTCAAGGCAAAGATGCACGCAGGGTACGCCTTCCTGGGAGCATATCTACTGCAGACACGACCCCTCCATCCCTCACACACAGAGCCCCTACTTAACTTGGCAAAGGATCCTGACTAAATGAGGAATAACGATATACCACGTCCAGTGAGCACAACGAATTGTGCGCGCGCTTCGTTACTCAAAATCCGAAAACGGGCCACTGTTGGAAAGACCTGCAGCCGCTCGAACTTGTCAGCAGTGATATGCACAGGTTCGCGACATCATCCTTCGTTATGCAGTTGCCGCAGCGACTCCTGTACATCATTGACCATGAAATCCTTTCTTGGCGACCCGAAACGCGCCCATACTCCGCGTCTTGCAAAGTCCGCCAATAGCCTACTTGAGAGTTTGTACATCACACTCCTCCTCGGACCTATTCCCTGTTGACGCTCACGCGCTTCACAAAGTGGGGTCATTATACTGACCATGGGCCGCATCTCGATCGTTGTTTGATACTCGGTAGCTGACAAGCCGAACGAATCCTTCAGTCTCGTTATTGATTGAATCAAGTGGCCTTCGTCTCGGACTGTCGTAGACCGCTCTCGATCTCCATGCAAACCCGCTTTACGCTCACAGGCCCGAAGTCGCTATTAGACGATGGGGGCCCCGGTGCGACATGATGCCCTCCTGCGGGAGGTGATGTTGAGTACGGTCACTTTGCTTTTCCAAAATCATGCTAGGCAGCCCTCCAGACCCATCATCACGGCTCGTGGCCCACAATACCTGCCGTCATCGGTCGCGTATAATTCTTGTCCCAGCGCAGTGACGAGGTAAGCCATGATTTGTTGTGATAATTAGAATATTTATTCTTTTTGTCCATGTCTTACTATACTGGTGTGCGGTGCGACAGGAGTCTGGCTAGTCATATGGTCTTCTGTACATGTCCGGGGTCAAGTTCAAACGCTACAAAAGTTCTAGTTTCAAAGTCGCCAGCAAAGTCTAGGCCGCTCGTCCGCTCAGCTCGCTTCCAGAACCATCACTCACGCGAGAATCTTTCACGATGTCTCCGAGATTCAAGCCGGGGAATGCAACTTCATAACCGCCATATCTAGCCACCGGCATGTCTTTCCTACACGGAGTTAACACGCGGTGAATTGCAGTCAGTAGGTCACGCATACCCGGCAACCGGTTTTCGCCAACAGGACAGGCCCCCAAAGCGGCGGTGGGTGACTGTGGCTTACGGTCCCACGTGTAAGATCCCGAAAACCATGTCAGCATGCACTTCGATTGCCCTTGGCAACACTGTGGGTAATCGTCTGATATAAGCAATCTTAGCCAGATCTGTTTCGTCGCCCGTTTGCCCTGCTTTAGCTTCAAAGTCTTCATGCCGCCCAAACCAAATCCGGTCGCTGCAGCGTTTGGCCCGCGTTTGCTATCTTGACCTGTAGATTGGGACTCGTACAGTCATAAATTCACACCTTGTTTGACAATCAGCAGGTGCGCGAGAGGCCGCGCGGATGTCCGTTGTGAGTGCGGCTATTTTTACATACATCGCACGGGCAAGTCACTACCATCATGTCTCTTCTCAGACATTACAATCCTGCCTCAGCCGGTCCATCACATATGGTCTGGTCTGGTCTGGTCTACAACACCGAGGTCCCAGTCCTGCCGTAAGCAGCGCATTGCTGACACGCCAAGACCGCATGTAGCCCGTTCTTCCAGACGCTGACTTGTCCGCCCACGCGCAAGATTCAAGTCCGCTTAGTCTACCGACCCATCTGACTACTTCATTGTAGAAGACCATGCAAGTCACGTCGTTGTTTGTTTGCCTCAACCATCACACTCCACTCCCGTACCACTCAGCTTAGTCTTACCCATCACAACCACAACATCTGAGCATCAACACATCAAATCAGGTATCTCACCCGCTCCCTCCTCTCCCCTCCCATGCAATTTGAGGAAAGAAAGTCTCACACTCGAGCCTTACACACTCCCAAGCGCGCGCGTTCACCACCTCGTGATCCCACCCTTCCCCCCAAGCGCCGAAAATAGGCAACACGCTCATCCCGTGCACATACACGTATGGGTTTTACTCTCGCAAGAGGCAAGTCTGCGTCTTACAAATGAACTGTGTGTGCGCAATACGGGGGCGTGTTGAGCGAGCTGCCTAGTAAGGTATCGGGGGTGTGGTACCAGGGCGAGACAGCGGCACGGACGGGAATAGAAGAGGGTGTGGCGCTTGGGTTAGTATTTGTGTTTATACCCATGTTTTATACGAGGGTGTGAGGCGATGGGGTTGGATTCGCGTGTCGCCGTGTCATTGTATTTCCAGAGTATGAGGTATCAGAGGATATGGGCTCTTGTGCTAGATGCGGTGTTGGTGTGAACTAAGTTTCCTGCTGGTTTTGTGCTCGAGGCGGAGAGCCTGTTCGTGTGTACATTGACATTGCACGGGGATGAGGGTCGCGTCGCGGCGTAGGATTGAAGGATCAAGAAGATGTCGCACTGCGCATATCTGTTGGTGAACTGCATTGTCTGATTATCATCGCCCTCTCATGGAACTTGCCAATCGAGTATACCTAGAAGGTAATGTTCAGACATCCGGACTGTCGGTTTAAAATTCGACTCGCAGCTACATACGTGTGGAAGCTCCATGCCTAATCCAAGCTTACGGTGACTGCCGGTGGGAGGGCGTCTACGCCAGAATGCTATTGATCAGACCCAACTATCAGTTTGGCATTCCTTGAGTCCATGAAGACGCTCATTCCAATACGGCATCGTGACGCCTAATGCTCTCATCACTCGATCCTATCTGCTTCTCGTATCATGAGGCTTAATCGAGTGGCCTTACGAAGCCAAAGGACTTTTTTGCGCCATGCGAAGACAATGGAACATGCGTCCGCGTCGTTTCCAGAACGCCGGCCACCATCCCACCCGCACCATGCTCTCAACCTCGCCTTGATCATACAATCCAGCAACCCCGCCCATCTCTAAAGTCTACTTTGAGTAGAATATGCTGATTTCCTCCGTCCCAAAAAATCTTTAAGGACTTACCATCGCTCAAATCATGGTGATTTCCTTAGCTCATTGAAGCGTAGGGGACTGTTCCCGGGGTCCTGAGAATCGTTTCGGCACGGAAGTTTATTAAACGACTGTGCTTATTAGGAAAGTGCGAAGATAACTGCTTTCTCTGTATGTACATGATTCGAGCAAGCGCCTTGATATCTGCCTATGCTGCAGTGGGTGTTAGCAGACAGTCATGAAAGAGTTCGATGGAATGGCTGTTTGACGGGCAAGAACGCCGAGTTATGTGGAAGCTGGTCAACTCCCATCACATATGTGTTGGTGGACATCAAACATATGCTCGCTCAGACAATCATGTTACGGGAAGTGAGTTTTTGGCAAGGTGTGTAGGATCTGAAAGCTTTTATTCAGCGCCAGATGGGAAGATGTACATCCTGCTACTTTGCGAAGCTAGAAAAGCGACTCAAATAGCTTGAGTACAGTGGTGCAATGAAGCGTCAACGACGACAGCCAATGTCCACGTTCATTCCCAAGACCATCCAACTTTTTGTCTTCTGCAACATTCATCCAAGCAGACTCTCACATCTCCTGGCGGAATTTCGACCCTCCATCTTCCGAAACCTCCGTCCTGCAGTTCATGCATCCAATCTACTGTCTGATACCACCCATCGCCTCCCTGAACGTCTCCAGACCCTTGCTCAGCATGTCCTTCTTCGACTCCAAGAAAGCACGCTGCTGCGATACCTCCAGAGGCTCTGCGGCCACGAAATCGATCTCTTCCTCGGTCATGTCGGTCACGGTCAGGGGCGAGAAGATCGTATCTGGAAGTGGGTGGACGAGATGGCGCTCGATGACGGTCTTGGCCACGGCGTTGACGAAGTACTTGAGTTCATCCTGTCATATTGGTTAGTGGGTGCCATGATGCACAAGGGCGGCGGCGGTTGCCTTGTAGTAAGCTCGCGCGGTGTCCAGAGCTTCTTGGCTGGAGAAGACGTCCATGTCCATCTCGACGGCGGCACTCATGTTCGCCTCAAACTTCGCGGGGATGACACCGAAAAACGGTGGATAAGTAGGATAGGCTTCACGGGTAGCAGGATGCTGTGCGGCGATTGCAGCATCTTTGGTGATCTTTTGGTACTTGCGCTGACGTGTCTTCTGGATCATGTCTGTGAAGTAGTGGTTGTAAGTACTAGGATGGCGCGCCTTGTCCTTGAGAATCTTGCGCAGCTCGTCCTTGGCTTCGACGAGGCTTGAGGCGAGGGCAGCGTCTACGCTCAGAGAGGTAATCTTGCTCTTGAACTCGGGCGGCGCAATGTGCTCAATGACCATGTATACGAAGTTTTTGCAGGCGCGTGCAACCTTGTTGATATGCCTGGCGGCGATGATCTCCCAGGGCTGTGATTGCTCCCAGAAGAGGTGCGAGATCAACATAGGCTGGAACGTTCCTGGAAGCTCATAGCCACGGGAACGCTCTAGTGTCTTCTTGACCCACTCAATGGCCTCACTCCGAGTGAGCTGCTTTGGTTCCGGCATGAACAGTACATCTGCATCCTCTCCTTCGAGCTGATCAAGCTCTTCTCGAGCCCTCTCGTCCTCTTCCATGTCTTTCTCTCTATCGCCAGGACCGGCACCAAAGCCGTACTTATGACCACGAAGACGCATATCCTTGGCAAACCCCAGGTTGAGATACTGCACAACGGATCTGAACCGGCTGATGTTCTGAGAATGGTCAACTGCTGCTTCCATGTTAATTGAGCCGAAGAACGGAGAATCGTAGCAGCCTTTGGTAGCTGACTTCAGCACATCGTTGACACGCATACTGGTCTTCATCAGTACCATGCGCTGCTCCTGCAACGTGTTCCTCTTATCGCCTAGCTTGTCAATGCTCTTGATCGTATTCCGGAGCTTGCTTTCCATCTCGTACTTCAGCGAAGGAAGCTCTTTGATGAGATGGTTTAGAAGCAGCTTGCTTAGGCGTTCTCGTAGCGAAGTGATCCCAACAACTTCGCGAGGCATGTCGGCGTACCTGCCCTTGTTAAAGAACAGCGTCTCATCACCGTTGCGCTCCTCAAAGGAGAACGTCATCTGATTGTCGCCACGGTTCTTGAGCATGTGCCATCCACGCTCAAGGTAGATGTCTTTGTTCTGCGCGAGATCGATCCAGCTTTTCTCGTTGTCGCTACCTTCACGAAGGAAGTCTGGCTTGGTGATGATGCCCAGCGTGCGGCGACCCTTTTCGTCAATCTTGCGACAGTGATCTAGAATGATCTGGTTGGCGTAATCGTTCTTCGCACTGACTACCGCAAGGATGATCGTACGGGAGTTAGTCATATACTGCTTGACCAGGTTCAAGATGAGCTCCTTGTCAGTCTCGGTCTGAGCTTTGTTCGTTGCGTGAATGAGACCAGGTAGATCGACCACAGTGCTATGCCGAATCAGCAGAGATACCAGGGCAAGCATGAGCAATGACTCACAGCTGTGGACGGCTCGGGCCAGTGATCTCGATGGACAAGACATCGCGCGAGAATGCTCTTGAGTTGATACCTCCCACGATACCTAGACCCATGGCTTGCGTAGCCTCATCGATGACGTCGGGTAGTTGGCTGAAGTCATTGATAGACTTGCTGAATGAATTCAGTTTTGACTGCTCCAGAAGTGGCCGGGTCTTGTCTGGCGTGATGGTGATGGTACTGGTCGAAGCCTGTGAGCGTCGTAGAATGATCTAAAACTTGTAAGCTTGCTCTGCAGTCTTGCGACTAAAATGCTAAAGCTCACCTCAGTAGCGAAGCGGGTACACAGGTTTTCTTTGCGAGGAAATGGAATCTCAGTAATCGCCTCGAGCACTGAGCTCTTGCCAGAAGACTGATCGCCGCACACTACCAACTGCGGAAGCTCGACAATGCCACTGAGTCCTTCGCGACGGAGCTTGTCGACAAGGTCCATGACCTTGCGCTGATCCGCCGACTGCAAGGCCTGCAGTGAGCTTGTTGTAACCGCATCGGCATCGATGAAGGTGGGAGTCAGTTGCGCGGGCGTTCCGGCATCGCTATCACTTGAGGTCATGCTTGCGACGTCGTGAGTGCGCGTCGCTAGGTGAGGTAGAAAGGTGAGAGAACATTTTGGGTAAGAGAGTAGGAAATCTTTTGTGGGCGGAAGCGCGCCAAGGCCCGAGCGCTCCAGCAGCCAGCCGTGGTGAGGTACAGGTGAAAGAGCAGAAATCAACAATTGCGTTGCATAATTCCTTCGAGTACTATGCAGGCAGACCTGTCACGAGTTGTTCTCAATGCTTTAATGCATGGACAGGGCCATCATGTATCAACAAGCGTAGTCATCTGGATGTACAGAGCCGAAGTCCAGCGCTGAAGGTATTCGACACGGTGACCACAGACAGACAGACAGACAGACAGACAGATAAACGACCGAGGAAGAGTACAACGGCAGTGACTACAATCTAGAACAGACCAAGGTAATCTCTTGATAGGAGTTTGAAGGAGAAAACTGTCGTTAGAGGATACGTATGCATGTCTGCAAGAAGCAGCAGCAGCAGCAGCACTGGAGAAGACTATGACCAGTCAATACAGATCCCGCATCTCGTTTAGCAATGCATCAAACCACGAGAACCATCACCATTACTAGTAAGACCTAGCCCTACAAGAAGAAAAATCTATACCAAACCCTACACCGACAATTATCTACAACTTCGCCCCACCCGCCCCCTTCAACCGATCCCAATCCTCCATCTTGAACACCACATACCCGTCATCCCTCTCGCCCTTGATCCCCAGCGCTGAGGGATGCCAATACATGGTATCATACACAACCTCGCCCTTCTCCTCGCCCTCCGCCTCCGCCGCCTCCTTATCCGCGCGCTCCACAATCTTCCTTAGATCAATGCCATCATTCCTCAGCGGGACCTTGTTCTGTTTATTGTTATGCATCGTCGTCTGCTTCTGCTGAATGCGCAAGAACACTGGTACCGCGTATTTCGGCAACTTGGCGCGCGCATGCGCGAGCAGCGCCTGGAAGTCGAATTTGTCGCGGTGCTCAGGCGCGATGTAGATTGCTGCGCAGCCAGCGCGCCCGTCGTGTCCGGGGACTTCGACGCCGTAGACGTTGGTCTCAAGGATGCCTGGGAAGGAGCCGAGGGCCTCTGACACTTCAGCGGTGGAGACGTTTTCTGATTTCCAGCGGAAGGTGTCGCCGAGGCGGTCCATGAAGAACCAGCGGCCGTCGCGGTCGCGGCGCAGGGCGTCACCGGTGCGGTACCAGAGGTCACCCTTCTTGAAGACGTTGCGTTCGAAGCGCTTCTGCGTGGCTTCGGGGTTGTTGTAGTAGCCGACAAAGGCGGATTCGTGGGGCATTTGCACGAGGATCTCGCTGCCTTCTTCATAGGCTTTGCGTTTGCAGAAACCGGTTTTGGGGTCGCGGATGAGGTCGCCGGTTACGAGGTCGCATTCCACAGGCACGTAGAGGTTGTGTGTGCGCCAGCGGTCGATGAGGCCTTGGTGGCCGACTGCGGTGGCTGTGAAGGGACCCCGGGAGCCATTCCAGAGAATCATGACACCCTCGGTACTGTTGAAGAACTCGCCGACAATCTCGATGCCAAAACGGTCAACGAAACGCTGCCAGACGTCTGGGCGAAGACCGTTGCCGAACATGGCTCTGACTTTGTGTTTGCGGTCGAGCTCGCTGGGCGGACTGTTGACGAGGTAGCGGGCCGTCTCGCCAACGTACACAATGGCAGTCGAATTTGAGTCGCGGACATCGGTCCAGAATCGTGAAGTGGAGAACTTGGTACCGATGCAGACGGTCAAGCCGCTGAGCATGCAGACGAGTGCAGTTGTGCCGCCTGTGCCGTGATACAGAGGCATACAGACATACCATCTGTCGCCATTGGGACCTGGCTTGAGTCCCATCTGGGCCACGCGACCCGTGAGACCAGTAGCTCTTTGCGTCTCGAACGGACAAGCCTTGGGGTGTCCAGTAGTGCCACTGTGTGTGTAACGCCGCCGCTCTGCTCTCACGCCTATCCTCCAAC